TCGCTCCCTCCCGCCCCTCGACCGCCTCCGCCGATACACGTGTCCTCTCTTTTTCTCCAAGATGCCCCTTGCCGTCCCTTTCCCTTCTCTTTAGGTTCGTCTCCTTCCGACTCTAGCGGCGAAGGTCTTTCTCCGTCCACCGCGTAGATCTCTTCAGCTTGTATGTACGCGAGGCGAGCGTGTTCCCGAAGAGACCTCCCTCTTCTTGGCTTTTCTTTCTCATTTTCGTGCTACACGTCCGATCTCTCCGTCCCGTTCCGTCGTGGCCGATCGCGAGACCACGCCACGTTGCCTCCACCCATGCAACCGCCTTGCCTTGCCTTGCCTCGCATCGCCTTGTCTTTCGCTCGCGCGGAGCCGGGCTCGCAAAGATCCGTGAATCGGACGGAGAATCCTCCAGCGATGGGTGTGATGCCCTCGCGAGCTTTTTTCGGCAGGCAGCGCGGTTACCGCGGTTGGACGGCGTATTCGACGGCGTCCAGTTGGAAATCGATCGTTGCTCCGACAGACGTAGGATTGTGGCCCTAACGTTCGTCGGGGTCGTTTGTAGCATTGTCTCCGCGGTGTGTTACTAAACATTAGTCGGACCGTGCAACGACAGCTCTCCGATAGCATCGTTCCAGTCGTGAATCAGTCCGCGGTGGCTTGAGATTTGTAAAGCTACGCTGGGTAGCTGGATGACTTGTATAGAAAGATCAACAGTTAAGGGGTTAAGACATTCGATCGGTTGTTTGCTCGCCAAGTTCCAGCCAATGTCTGTATACTCTCGTGGAATTGGCCACTTTGGTAAATTAGTAGCTCAATTGTCGTTGAACGGCAGGTCCCAAGTTATTCTTGTACGCCCCGTGCCATGCAGAAGCCATGGTGTGTCACTGATATAAAATAGGTCTGCCAGTTTCCCATCCGGGATTCCAGCGCCGTGTCCGACTCGCGCAACGCGTGTCCCGGGGTTTGCGACCTAGGCTTGCCTATTACTTGGCCCCCGTGACACGCAATGCGTGACGCCCGCAACCAACCGGGAACCACTCCGTACTCGCGATATCGTCTAAGAGCCGGTTAACAGTTTCATCCCGTGCTCCTATTTAGCGTCAGTCTTCATTTCACTCGTTAAGTTTAACGTATCAACTGAATAGATCGCAACTGTTCTCGAGTATGAATATTTTAGACCCCGTCCCATATACGGCCCTCCTCCGCGAACGCTATTTTAACACACTGCGGTTTCCTCTCGATGTGGCAACTTTCAATTCCGAGTCGAATATTTCGTTGCACAAAGTACTGTAGCATTTCAAAACCGACAAACGTGTCTATAACAACGCGTGATCGCGGCGTCTTCTCGGCTGCGTAACTCGAAGAAATAATGGCTTTAATAAACGTTAGCGCCATTAACACGCTTACGTTCCACGTGTCGCAATCCCTATAACAGAAGCACCGAGTCCCCATCGAGATTGCTTGTTTTTGGTTCTGAAGGGATCGCAGGAGCGAAATACGGATGTAACATCGATACAACGTTGGTTATACAACCGAACAGTTGTATTCGGGACCTTTACAATCCCTGGAACCTACAACGCGCTCCACAGCACAGCTGAGACGATTTCCATGAATGATTCTAAAGGCTCAGCGAGTGAAAAACCACCAGCGAGTTAAGGTTTAACGTTCACAGGCGATCGCGACGTTCTTCCGCGAAGAGGCCGCAGGAAAATACGAAGCCCCGCGTATTTCTACGCCGGCCTCGTAAACCTTACTCTCGCGTGGCATCCTTTACGGGTGCCTTAACCTTCGCGCGAATCAATAAGACCCGAGCAACACGTAGAATTTACTTTCCGACCCGATAACGCTCGAATCGAACGGCATCGATTCTTTACGCTGCGACCGTTCCGAGCGGCCTCGGCCGGGGGACATTCTCGCCCGACC